TTTTTTTTTCCTCTTAGTATTTCTCTTTTTTTTTGTTTTTCTTTCTTTTGATTTGTCCTAAAAGGGAGATATAGTATATGAAAAAAAAAAAAACAGATGAAGCTTTTTATTTTTAAAAAAATAAAATTAAAATATCAAATAATTAATAGCTTTGATAAGTCAAAAACCACAATAAATAATCCAAACCATACATACATAACTATTTATTATTTTTTCATTTTTAATATTTATAACAAAATGGCTAAAAAATTAAGAAAAAGTAATCAAGAAAGAAAAGAAGGTAAACAAACGGAACTTGAACAAATTCAAGCTTTAAATACAAGAATAGAAGAATGGGATATCAAACCTAACTCATCTATGACTTTACAAGCCAAGAATTTCAGAGATTTACCATTATCTTCAAATATTATCAAAGGTTTATCAGATAATGGTTTCACTAAGATGACAGCAATTCAACAACATTCCATTCCAGTATCTCTACAAAACTGGGACATCATGGCATCTGCCCAAACAGGTTCTGGTAAAACATTAGCATTCTTGATACCAATTTTAGAAAAACTTTATAAATTACAATGGTCTGAATATGATGGACTAGGTGCTTTAGTTATCTCACCTACAAGAGAATTGGCTATGCAAACATATGAAGTATTGTTGAAAATTGGTAAAAAATATAATCTTGCTGCCGGTTTAGTCATTGGTGGTAAAGATTTGAAGTTTGAGGTAGAAAGAATTTATAAAATGAACATTTTGGTTTGTACTCCAGGTAGACTTTTACAACATATGGATCAATCTGCCGGATTTGATGTTTCTAACTTACAAATGTTAGTTTTAGATGAAGCTGACAGATGTTTAGATATGGGTTTCAAAAAGTCTTTAGATGCCATTATATCTAATTTACCAAGTGAGAGACAAACTTTATTGTTTTCTGCAACTCAATCTCAATCTTTAGAATCTTTAGCAAGATTATCATTAACAAATTATAAGACTGTTGAAGATCCAACCTTGAGAAATATTGTATCTTCTATCAAAGATAAGGATAATAAAACAACAACTCCTGCAACTCTACAGCAATCTTATGTTACTGTAACATTACCAAAAAAATTAGATATGCTTTATTCATTCATGAAGACCCATTTGAAGACAAAAATGATTGTTTTCATGTCTTCTTCCAAGCAAGTTCATTTTGTTTATGAAACTTTAAGAAAATTACAACCTGGTATTTCATTATTACACTTACATGGCAGACAAAAACAAACATATAGAACAGATGTATTGGACAAATTCAGTAAATCACAACATGCTATTCTGTTTGCTACTGATGTTGTTGCCAGAGGCATTGATTTTCCAGCAGTTGATTGGGTTATTCAAGTTGATTGTCCTGAAGATGTTGATACTTATATTCATAGAGCTGGTAGATCTGCTAGAAATGGGAAAAATGGTAAGAATTTGCTGATTTTGACACCGAGTGAAGAGGAAGGAATGCTGAAAAGATTAGCCAATAGAGATATAGAACCAAAGAAATTGAATATCAAAGAATCTAAAATGAGATCCATCACAAACAATTTACAGTCATTACTTTTCCAAGATCCAGAATTAAAATATTTAGCTCAAAAAGCTTTCATTTCATATGTTAAATCTATTTACATTCAAAAGGATAAGGAAGTTTTCAAGTTTGATGAATTACCAAGTGAAGAATTTGCGCAATCTCTTGGATTACCTGGTGCTCCAAAGATTAAATTCAAAGGTATGAAATCATTTGAAAAAGCTAAAGAATTGAAGAATACATCCAGACAATTACTATTACTAAAAAATGCAGATGAAAATGGTGATATTTTAACTAAAAAAGATAAACAAGTAAAAACAAAGATTGATAAAATGTTTGAAAGAAAGAATCAAACTGTTTTAAGTGAACATTATTTGAATTTGACACAACCTGCTTCTAAAAAATCTGCTGACAAAGCAGATGGTGAAGACGAAGACGAAGAAGATGACTTCATGACTGTTAAACGTAAAGATCACGAACTAATAGAAGAAGATCTTCCAGAACTTTTAATCCCAACATCTAAAAGAGCACAAAAGAAGGCTTTATCTAAAAAACAAATTCTTTTGAATCAAGGCTCTTCCAAAAAACTTATTTTTGATGACGAAGGTAATGCTAAACCAGCTTATGAAGTTTTAGGTGAAGAAGAATTTGCTAAAGATGGTGATTTGGAAACACAATTGGAAAAATACATAAACAAGGAAAATGAAAATATGAAACTTGCTGATGCTGATGATAAACAACTTGTTAAAGCAAAGAAACTTGAAAAAAAGAGAAAGAGACAAGAAAAAGAAAGAATGGAAACAGAAAGTGGTTATTACTCTAAAGAAAATGCTGAAGAAGAAGAAGTTGAAGACTATGATGAAGATGAAATCAGATATGTTGCTGGTACTGGTGATTTAGATGAAGATATGGTATCTGAAGATGAATCTGAAAAGAGACCAAGAAAGAAAGTTAAATACTCTAGAACAGATGATTCTGATTCTGAAAATGTTTCTGAAAACAATGTTATCCAAGTGGAAAACCCAGAAACTTTAGAAGATTTAGAATCTTTAACAGCCAAATTATTACAAGGCTAATTAATATGATATATAGATATATATTTTTTTTTCAAGTTTTATATAATTTTTTTAATTTTTTAGTTATTTTTTTTTTTTTGGTTTTATATTAGTTCTATATGTATGTTAAATATATATATATGCAAAAAGCATTTTATTTATTTATTATTAATCATCTTGATCCCAGTTACCAGCTTTAGGACCCTTTGGTACAGCTGGACCACCAGCTCTTTTGGCCATAATGATTTGATCAACTGAAAGAACTGTTGTTGCAGCATCTGTGGCAACATTAACAGCAAATTTCTTTGCAGCTAGTAAATCAAATATTCCTTCTTCTTTAATATTCTTAACACCATCTTCTTCAACACCATCTACATCAATACCATAGAAAACACCGTCAGATTGGTTATTATTATGTGCTGCATATAAGTTCGGTAATACTTCATTACAATTTAGACCTGCTGTCTCAGCTAATATTCTTGGGATAACTTCAAAGGCTTTAGCAAATTGTTTAATAGACAATTGTAACAAACCTGGTGTCTTTTCTCCATATTTGGTAATTCTTGAAACTAATTCTATTTCTGTAGAACCGGCACCTGGTAAAATCTTAGTACCACCTTCCTTCATCAAACCTTTAACACCGGAAATACCATCATTCAAACATCTTTCAACATCATCTAAATTATTCTTTGTAGCACCTCTCAGAACAATTGTAGCACATTGAGTTCTTTCAGAAGATTCTTGTTGGAAAACAGTAACAACATTTGATCCAATATTTGATAATTTAACAGTTTCAATGAAACCAACTTCTTCAGCAGTAGGCTTACCTAATCTGGCTAAAGGAGTAGCTCCACAAACTTTACATAATCTTCTTAATTCAAACTTAGAACCTACTTTCATGACAATTAAATTATATCTGTTCAAATAGTGTAAGGCTAAATCACTTACAGTGGCACCACATATAACAACTTTAACACCAGAATCGGCAATTTCTTTAACCATTTCATCTAATTGATCTTCCTCACCTTTACTGAAATCAAGCATTTCTTTAGCATTGTGTAATAATACAGTTCCTTTTGTTTCAGTAGTTGCAATATCGACAGGACAATTAAAGACTACTACTTTAGCCATATTAGCTTGCTTTATATGAGAAATAGGTTCCATTGGGAATAACATACCTTTAACTACCTCACTGTCTCTTAGAGAACCACCCATTATTTTAACAATTCTTATACTATCAACATTGAATGGGACTTGAATATCTTCAGTTAACAAACGTTCATCTGATGGGGTTGGTAAAATATGTACAACAGCTTCACTAACTAATTGACTCAATTCTTCTTCAAAACCGTATTTCTTGGAAGCCAAAATAGGTTTAATAACTTTTCTAATCATTGCTGGATCGAATTTGGAAGTGACAAATTTGTTACCTTCACCTTCTTCAACTTCCTTAGAAATCAAATCTAATTCTTTAAGAGCAAATTCTTTAGCCATGTTAAAACCTTGAATGATTTCTACTGGCTGTAAACCTAGAGTTAATAATTTTTCACAACAATTTAAGAATTCACCTGCTAAAACCATAACAAAGTTAGAATAGTCACCCATTTCTTGATTTTGTTGTTGAGTAGCCATAACTAAAATTTTTACAGCTGGATGAATGACATCTAATTCTCTTAACATTGTAGCTGCATCATTAGTTATGATTGTCTTACCTAAACTATTGACAATAATTTTGTTTCTACCATATGGTCCATAAGATGTAACACATAGCTTATGGAGTTCTTTGATAGCTTCAATTGATCTGTAAATTTGGCCATCTAATGAATTAGAGTAAGAATTATAACCTTGTTTAAATAATCCAGCATTTGGATTTCCAGGTAATTTCATAGACATCTTGGAATATTAGTTTGTGGTAATAAATATGTAAGGTTCTACTTGGTTTTCTCTTTGAATTTATTTTTAGTATTTTATATTTAATAAATCAAAGATGAACTTTGCCACTTTAGAGTTTTTTTTTTCATCACCAAAAAAAAAAAAAAAAAAAGAAGAAGAGGAAAATTTTTTTTTTTGAAATTTTTTTTCTACTGCAAATGTGTATGATGCACGTGATAATTTGCTAATTAATTTTTTATTTTTTATCAATAATTAATAAATTTTATTAGTAAAAGTATTTCTTTAAAACAACAAGTAAAGGTACAAAATTATTACAATGAATATCAATAAGTAAATATGTTATTACCAAAATTAAATTTTGTTTAAAAAATTGTTAAAAATATAAATTTTAACTAATTAAATTCAATATTAAAAAATAAAACAACAATATTTGCTATAAATCAAATTTATTATAAATTAAAACAACAAAATGTATTTACAAAAACATTATAAATGTAATAATTTTAAAAGCTTTGGTAGCTCAGTTGGAAGAGCGTTAGTCTCATAATTACTTGTTAATTCGGGTTATCTAAAGGTCGAGAGTTCGAACCTCCCCCAGAGCATTTAATATTATTACGTTTTATTTTTTTTTTGCTTGCTCTATATTTGTTTTTCACATTCTTTTTTTATTATTTTTATATAAAAAATATATAATCACAAATGAACACATAAACAACAAAAAAAAAAAAGTATATTAATAAGGGAAGTTAATAATAAAGAAAAACCCATTGTTCTTTGCATTACTTTCTGTAAAATCTACATCTATATTTTTTAAGAATCAGATATGGTTGAAAATTCATTGGACTCACTTGACTATAATCCTTTATTAGATATAAAGGAGTTACTTTTTAATCAAGAAAACAAACAAGATTTTTCTTTTGAAGAAGTTATAAATACAACAAAGCTTTATAAAATATATCTAGACAAAAAGCTTAAAGAAGCTAAACAAACTGAAACAGAAAAATTAAATAAAAATGCAATTAAAATATCAAATGAAGATTTGAAAACACAGTTTAAAGATTTATCTATAAGTATTGACAAATTTCATTCTGAAAATAAATCTCTAATGAGAAATATGAGAGATATTCAAACATCAAAAAACAATTTAACAATTACAATAAAGTATTATAACGCTTTGGAAACAGTTAGAAAGGAGTATGATTATATAACTAAATTTTTGAAAATTGAAAATTATATTGAAATTATACCAGTTTTCAAAGAATATTCAGAAAACTTGGAACATTTGATTAATGAGTATGGAAATGTTGTTGATTTTAAAGAAATCAATAAGTTTAAAGAAGTTTATGATAATTTAGAATTACAGAGTAAGAAATATATTAAACAACTATTCCAAGCACAACAATATCCAACCAGCCAAGAAACAAACAATGATGAAGTTGAAAGTGACAGTAATATTATTGACATTTCTAAAACTCAATTTCAATCTTTGTTGAAGATTATCAATTTATTCCATGATAAAACTATTTTGAAAAGTATTGATAATTGGATTATTGATAGTAATTTGTTATTTGAATTTAAACAAATATTCAATGTAAATGATGAAGTTGAAGTTACCAGTTTAGAGAATTTAGATAGAAGATTTATTTTTTTCAAAAAAATATTATCAAACTTTATGATAAAATATGAAGATCATGAAAATAGCTGGTTTCCTAGTGAATCTAAATTATCTTTGAAATTGACTGAAACATTTTGCAAATTGACTGCTGAAGATTTAGAAATTATTTTAAAGAGAGAATTCGAAAGTGATAACAGTGCAATCCCCGAAGAGACTGGTAGTACTAGTAATAATAGTGATTTGTTCATGACTTCTTTAGAAAAATGTTTAGAATTTGAGAAATATGTTAAACTGAAATTTAAGAATCAATTAGTTACTGATGCTATAAGTTCTAGATTTAAACCTTATATTTCCATTTGGATAAATAAACAAGAAGATGTTATTAGAAAAAAAATAAGCCAATATTTAGCAGACCCTAAATTAACATCAGATGGATCCAAAGATATGATCATTCCATCTTCAATGGATTTATTCAGAACTTATAAAAATATTTTAAACGAATCATTACAATTAATAAAGTCAAGTAATAGTGAGTCATCTAGTAGTCCTAATGAATACAATAATGATAGAGTCTTTAAAAAATTGGCTAAAATATACCATAATGGAATAAACTCATACCAAAAGCAAATTATTGATCCTTTAATTATTAAAAATTATAAAGAAACTATTGTAAACACAAAAATACAAGAGATTATTGATTATACTGTATTAGTTGTCAATACTTGTGATTATTTAGTTACAACTTTAGAAGATTTGTCTTTAAAACTACAAGATTATTGTCAAGAAGAAAAATATAAAAACAGAATTGATGATTTATTGTCATCAAACAAACAAGCTTTGATGAAGGTGATTAATTATAATATTTCTACAGTGTTGATGAATGAAATTATTGGTAAAGAGTTGGAATTTGTGTTCAAAGAGTTCCAACATGTTAATTGGAGCAATGCTGCTAGCAATGTAAATACAAGCAGATATGTCTCATCTTTGAATAAAATATTGACAAATGAAAAATCTTGCTCATTAATAAAGATTACTAGTTTGTTTTATAAAGAAATTTATATTTACAACTTATTTGATAAACTGGTAAATTATATTATTAGAAATTTTCTTGATTCAATGGTAAAAATATTAACCATCAAAACAACAACTACTATTACTAGTAATAATAATAATGCTGCCATTATTAAACTTTGGGTAGTAGATTTCCCGGAAATAATCGATTCACTACAAAAATATCCAGCTAATCATATAACAAATATCTCTGCTACAGCAAATGGAATGAAACGTTGTTCAGAAACAACTTTGAAAGAACTAAACAATAGATTGGGTAGCTTTGTAAATTTGTTGAATACAGATTTGGGTGAGTATACTGATAGATTTATTGAATTAACTTTTAACTGTGATAATAGTATAATATGGTTGTATTTGTTGAAATTAAAAGGAGTTCAAAATTCTACTGAAATAATAGATTTATGGAAAAATCAAGCAGTTGGTAAAGGCTTAAAATCTAATTCCAATCAATGGTTTATATTTACAATGACTAAATTTTTACAAGACGGGTTTATAGAATATAATAACAAGTTGTATGTAGAGAGTATTGGTCCAAATAATACTACTGATCCATGGAAAAAGTTTTTGAAAGAGATTATTCAAGTTGTTGAATTTAAAAAAACAATTCCACAACAACAAAGAGTAGTATCTCCTTCTACAAATAATACACAACAACAACAAGGAATACAACAAAAAATAGGTATGCTCTGGAACAGTATGTAATTTAAATATATATAAATATATATGAAAAACAGTTTTTCTTTTTCTTCTTTTTATCATTATTAATTATTATTATTATTTTTTTTTATAGCATATTAAAACCGAGGTGATTTTTTTTTTCTTTTCTTGAAATACACAAATTAAACTCAAATACAGATCTTATCAAAAAAAAAAAATAAAAAAAATAAAAAATAATTCAACTTTATCAGATAAACCAGCATTCATAACTATATAATAATAATAATATATATATATATAGAAGAAAAATGCATGGTGTAAAGAGAGTTGATCTTACTGAGGAACTTCGATTAGAAAAAGAAAAGAAAGATAAGATTAAACTTGAAAAATTCAAATTCTTGTCAACCACAATAGACACTCTTTCAAGTAAAGATAAAGATACAGAAGAACTTAAAGAATTGTTGAAAAACTTAGATGCTCAGTTAATGATTAATTCGGACTTGACAACTTCTTATAATCTTAGAAGAGATACTATTTTAAAATTAAACTTTAAAGATGAAGATTGGGAGAAGGAACTTAATTACACAACTATGTTATTGACCAAATCACCAAAGAGTTATCCTTTATGGCAACATAGATGTTGGATTTTGACTCAATTGGATTCTAAGTCATATTATGAAAAGGAATTGAAATTGACTTTTAAATTATTATCATTGGATAAAAGAAACTTTCATGGCTGGTCCTACAGAAGAGATATATTAGATGTTCTTTATTCAAAATTAGATTCAAATGAAGTTGAATATTTATATGCTAAAGAATGGAAATTTTTGACAGAGATGATCAATTCTGATATATCTAATTATTCTGCATGGCACCAGAGAAGAACTTTGTTGCTATATTACATTGATTCTGAGGGTGGTAAAACACCTAGCAGAGAATTTACCTCTATTAAAGAATTGTTGGAGAATGAAGTTGAATACATTTATCAAGCGATTTTCACTGATGCTGAAGATCAATCTGTTTGGAATTATATGAAATGGTTTATAACTGATTCAAAAGTGCGCTCTATTTTTAGTGATCAAGAGAGTGAACAAATTTTGGAGAAATACATTGAAGCAATGCATGAGATTAATGAAGATGAATTTGACTTTGATGGGAAATGGAACAAATGGTGTTCTCTTTTGTTAATATACATTAAAGATAATATATCTACAGATAGAGATGATATTAATAAGAAAGCTTTACTTGAAAGTTTGATAGAAAGTGATCCATTAAGAAAAAATAGATACAAAGAAATGTTGCAACAAAAATAACTAAATGATTTAATGTCTGTTTTATTTCATAGAAGAAAAAGAAAAGAAAAGGAAAAAAAAGAAAAATATATATATTATTGTTATCTTTAGTATTAAATTATTTATTAAAGTATTTTGTTATATAAAACATTATTGTTCCTATTATATTTGTAATTTTTTTTTTTTTTTTTGTGAATTGTTTTATGCAAGGTTGTTATTTGAAATAGCATCTATTTCAGTACTTGGAGATTTTTGTTTTTCTAGTGATTCATTGTTACTACTATCATATTTCAAAGCAGAAGAAATGTTAGTTATTAAAACAGGATCCATTAAAGATTTGTCATCATCTTCATCATCACCTTCCTGTTCATAATAACTTGAATCATTTTTACCAACAAATATCATATCAATTTCGTTACTTGTCAAACCTCTAGTCTCTGGGACAAAGAAATATGTAAAGAAAATAGCAGCTCCTAAACAAGCAACAAAGACATAACCATATTTATAACCTATTTTTGCCGTAATTGTAGGAGTCAATAAAGTAATGAAAAAATTTGTCAGCCAGTTACAATTAGTTGCAATACCCATGGATAAAGACTTGGTTCTTATAGGATATAATTCAGAGACAAGAACAAAAGTGATTGGTCCTAAAGAGATAGCAAAAAAAATGATAAACAAACATGTGAATGCAATCATACAACCACCAACAGATTTAGATATTGTACCATCACTTTGAGTTAAAGCAAAAGAACCTAATGAAGAGTAGATGATCATTGCAATGCAACCACCTATACAACCCCATAAGAAAATAGTTTTTCTTCCAGCTTTTCCAACACAGTAAACACCAATAATGGTACCAAAGAAGTTGACCAAAGAAAAGATAAGTGAAGTCACATAGGAATCATTTAAACCAACAGAGGAGAAAAGCAAAGATCCATAGTAGAAAAAGTAGTTAATACCAGAAGCT